AATCCGACAAGATAGGTGGCGATGAAAAGTAGATCGGAGGTTGTTCACATGGCCAATGGAGAGAATCATAACAAGGGAGCTTTTCCTAGAGAAGCTTCAAAGGGAAACGAAAATTGTCATCATGAACATCATGATCACTGTTGTTGAGGCCTTTCTAAATTATGTTTTAAGTATAGTAAACATTTTCACATATGTATTTTCTTCTCTAGAGCCATGTTTACTCGTGTCACTAAGTGTTGTAGATTTAAGCCATTTCATGTATCACAAACTCATTCACACAAGAGTGATCTAAATCGTTACTTTTTGCCAGTTTGATCAAAACCGCTTGTGTACAAGTACTTCATGTGAATATTAAAGAGAAATGATGTGTTACCTCAGTTCGTAGTTGAGTCTGTCCTTTTAGTACAACAAATATAGTTAAAAGATCAAAATGACAATACCTTGGCGATGACAATGCAAATCTGTAATGACCAATCCACAAGAAGGTTTGTAGATGGTGCAGTAATTCCTTGGCTTGACAAGAATCAAAGTCTAGGTACGCATCTTGGTGATGCCACACTAAAGCACTTTCTTTATGCTTCTATATTGGTAACAGCAGTATTTTCTCTGACTATATAGTCTCATAATAATTTTTCCACGACTTTCTTCTGCTCAAGGTCATCAGTTAAGCTACTTATTTCCCAATCAGATTTTACTTATTTGTGCCTGATACTCTGAACGACGGCGTATTCATAATTATACCGGAAACTTCTCATGAAACCTATGTTTTAGTGGGTTCATTGAAGGGTGGAAACGACTGCGTATTCATAATTAGTTCATTTAGGGGGAAAGCGATGACGTATTAAGTATTATTAGTTGTTTAGCACATCCCACATCGTCACTGTACAGAGCCTTTGTACTATTTATATAGCGAAGAGAAGAAAGTTCAGGTCACGACCTTACTTGAACAGGATCTGTTCTATAGGAAGTACCTCTTTATCCTTGATCTCTAAGGAGACAGCCCCTTGATGATTCATGCCCGTGTGATCTGAGTGTGATTAACGGCTACGAGCCTCTTTGGAGTCTCTGCGCTGTAGAGGATCGCTATCCGGTTAGGTCTTCACCTCTCTGGGGTGGTCGCACGGTTGTCTGACAGGCTCCCTTTTTTTAAATGAATCGTACGTACATTGACACCACCACAGACAAGTACCATTATTACCAAACCTTGAAGTATAAAATTTGTTCATCTTTGATTTAATTGGTTCAGTTGAAAAATAATTCTAACATAATAAGGCTCAAAACGATTCCACAATTGTTGTATCATATGATTCTCATCTGTATTTGTTCCATGGGGCCATGTTTATTTGAATCAGTAAGCGTTGTATGTAGATATAAGGCATTTGAGCGCTGTGTCTTCTGAATTTCATAAACTCTCAGATGAGAGTGATCGAATAAGAATTATGAGCAGAACTTAGGTTAACTCTGGGATGTGGTGATTCAAAACACAACTTGGGCAGGAAACTTTCCAAAACATACTTGTTCAGACATGATGTTGCTTCCTCCACAAGACACTGGTTCTTCCCTGGAGACATGTTTACTCGTGTCACTAAGTCTTGTAGATATAAGACATTTGAGCTCAAAATTACTCTTGCAAGAGTGATGTAGATCGTTACTTCATGCACTTACTTTTTAGCCCTCTAACCTTTTAATTTCTTACATTTCGACAAATAACCTTTGCCTCATGAATTAATGAGTAATGATACTCTGTCACAAAGATTTTGCTCTAAACCCTGCACATGATGGTCACTCATTTGATCAAACTCCTTCCCACAAAAAAAGAAGGTTCCTTGCTCCACAAGCAAACTCATATGTTTTCTTTCCTCTTCTTTTTGTTGAGGCGTCGCTCCGAGATAAGATCAAGAGTAACTGAGAGGTTTTACGGGAAGGGGGCTGAGAAGATCGATATTATTATGGTTACCAATTACACAATTTGGATTTTGATTTGAGGAGAATTAGTATTAAGCGACTCTTTTGTCTTCAGTACACTGAGATAATCAAACTATGACGTAAGGGCGTTGAGCTTGAAAACGGTGACGTATTGAATGTGTAAAGCTGCTTATAACGTCCCAAATCGGTGAATTTCGGTTATATAGAGCAGCCTCAAAAGGTTAGATCACGACCTTAGATTTACAGATGATCTGTACTGTCGCCTGGTTACCTAGTTCCGATGACTAAACAATTTTTTGTTCACTTTTGATGTTTGTTTTTGCGATTGTCACCATTCCATTTCCACATTTATCATTTTGTATCGTTGTTACTTGAATTTTTTTGTTAAGGAAACAGAGAAATTTAAAAAACAAGCATTCATCAATGATTGTCATTAATAGTTTTGAATTGTGGATCATCATCCTCTGTTAAATTCAAACTCCTCATTCAGAGTTTATTGGATTGTTAATTTCGGTGAACTTATTATGTGGTTTGAGGGTATGAGCCGAAAACTTTCAATATCCACTTCTGTTGTGATATGGAATTCTTGTCCGAGAGATGAGGCCTTGAATTTGAAGAATTGGTTTGGTGCTTATGTGTTGTTGCAAATCATTGAGCTCTTAAGTTGAAGGGATCCCGAGACTCAGTTTCCTAGAAGGATTGTTTTGACTGGTACTAATTAGTTATTACAAAACCTTCAAACATAAAGATCTGTTGGTCTTTAAGTTAATTAGTTCAGCTGAAACGTCACTGTAGTTCTAATTGGCATATTTTTGATCTTTAGCACTATCTCAAAAGTCATGAGTCATACAAGAAAAAAAGAGCAACTCGACTCATATGCTCACATGATCAGTATCCAGACCATCTCTCAGACATTCTATGGTAAGCTATTTGGTACTAATATCCACGGATCACAATTGTTTATACTTCATACCATTATTGAGTCTGTCAGGTTAGTACAACAATAGAGTTAACAGATCGACATGACAAGTATTCTTCTTAGTCTGTCATGACGATACAACTCTGCAATGACGACAAGAACCAAAAAGGTTTGGATCTGCATCTTGGTGATGTCACACAATCATTTTCTTTGGCTTCTATGTTGGTAACATCAGTAGTCTCTGTATATAGTCTCATAAAACCACTTTCTTCCATTCAAGGTCATCACATTTAAGCCGCTCGTTCACTAAAACCGTGTCTAGACGTTACTCCATGATTCTCACTCGAACCGAACCCAAACACATCTCCCTTACCCTTCATATTGACTGAGAGTTAACAATGCTATGAACTTCTGGTACAAGAGATTCGGCGCCGAGGAGACATGTAACGAAGTGCCGTTACAAAAAAATCTACCGGAAACTTGTCATGAAACGCAATGAGGAGCTCAGAAGATTTGGAATCAGAGACGAAACCTCCGTTTCAGTCTCTTCCTATCATACTGTCTTTGGAATTTGATTGTTTGAGAAAACGACGGCGTATATGTCATTAATGTGTTGAGCTTGGAAAAACGGCAACGTATAGGGCGTGTGAAGTTGTTTATTTCGTCCCACATCGCTTACGCAAAGAAAGTCTGTGTTGTTTATATAGCCAAGAGAAGAAGGTATTGGTCACGACCTTACTTGAACAGGATCTGTTCTATAGGCTCGTACCTCTGTATCCTCGATTTCTAAGGAGACAGTCCCCAAACCCTGGTTGATGAATTATGGCCGTGTGATCTGAGTGTGATTAACGGCTACAAGTCTCTTCGGAGGCGCCGCGCTGTAGAGGATCGCTATCCGGTTAGGTCTTCTCCTCTCCGGGGTGGTCACACGGTTGTCTGACAGGCTTCCCTTTTTTTTGTTCTTTCACCTCCCTCAATTTATATTTTTAATTTTTGAGTTCTATGTATCCAGTGCTAAGTTCAAACTCACTCAGAGTATCTTCGCTTAGAGTGATGTAGTTAGTATGTTAGCTTCGGAGAATTGTGTGGTTTAATGATTTAATAGAATGTTTCTACGTTTCTAGTAAAAGGGTGAGAGCAGAAACGTTTTAACATGTGATGTGATGTGGACTGCTTGTCTGAGAGATGGATGGGGGAAATGTAGGCTACTACTTGGGTCGCTGACACTTCCAGGATTAGTTCGCTGCTTATGTATTATTGCAAAACATTTACCTCTAGCTGATCAACTGAGAGCACTATTTGGACCTGTAGAAGACAAAATGTGTCTTGCTCATTGAAAAACTACTTATGATTCTGAGATAATGTTAGGACTTGTTTGGTTTTATTAACAGAGAAAGGCTCTTGGTGCTTTTCTTTAGGTTATAATGCTGTTCATCGACACTGCAGCCAAGTACCGTGACAATCACAAGCCGCAGTAGCAGCCTTGAAACTGGCACATGATCATGTGACCAAGTCTACTGATACTGGTTAGTTACTAACTTACTATTTACCAAACCTTAAAGCATGAAAATTTGTTGATCTTTGAGTTAAATTGGTTCAGTTGAAACATAATTCTAATAAGGCTTAAAACGATTCCACAATTGTTGTTGTATCATAACCATTCTTCCCTGGAGGCACGTTCACTCGAATCAGCTAGTGTTGTAGTTACAAGGCATTTGAGCTTTGTATCTTCTGAAGCTCATACTCTTTCAGACGAGAGTGATCTTAGATTGTTAGATTCTACCTGCTGTTTTGATTCTCAATTTATACAAGAGTGAGCTCTGTATTCTTTTGCATGAGCAGTCTTGAAATTGTCCCAGGATCATGTGGATAAAGACTGGAAGATTTGGATTGGTACTGATTAGTTACTACCAAACCTTAAAACATAAAACAACATATTGATCTTTAGAGTTGCTTAGTTACTACTAACTTTCTATTTACCAAACCTTAATACATGAAAATTTGTTGATCTTGGAGTTAATTGATTCAGTTGAAACATAACTCTAATAAGCTCAAAACCATATATTTTAGTATTTCTTCCCTGGAGGCACGTTCGCTCGAATCAGCAACTGTTGTAGATATAAAGGCATTTGAGCTCTGTATCTTCTGAAGCTCAAACTCTTTCAGACAAGAATGATCTTAGATTGTTACTTTCTGCCTGCTGTTTGGGTTCTCAACTTTTACAAGAGTGAGCTCTGTTTCTTTTGACAACTTAACATTTTTTTCTTTGTAAGATTTCTTGACAGATCTTTAGGTAGTATCTGGTAGGACCGCAAGCTGCATGAGCAGACTTGAAATGGACGCAGGATCATGTGGACAAAGACTGGAAGTTTTGGATTGGTACTGATTAGTTACTACCAAACCTTAAACCACAAAACAAACATATTGATCTTTAGAGCCAATTAGTTCAGCTGAAACACAATTTCTATGTAGAAATCTCAAAACAATTCCGCAATGTTGTTCTATGATTATCAGTATTTCTTCCCTTGAGCCAGGTTTACTCGAATCTCCCGACCCTCCAGCTCAAGTCCATCCAGCGATTCAAGAGCTGTTTCCATTTCAGCTTTGGAAGAGTAACACACAAAGCCATAACCCCTAGACTTCCCTGTATCTCCATCATACACAACTCTAGCACCAACCACTTCCCCACACTCTCTAAACGCTCCAGCTAATGACTCAGAAGTAACTGTCCACGACAAGTTACCAACAAACAGCTTAAACTCTGTTTCTGGATACAGAGGTTCTTTGTTTGGTTTCGGTTTATCCGCAAAGTTCACCTTCAAAGTCCTACCAAGATACTCCTGAAGATAAATAAACAATAGAAAACGTTACTTTATTTTTGTAAAGCTTCACTTCACATTTTTTTAAAAACTCTTCACTTACAGTTCCATCGAGATTCTCGATGATGACGTTGCAGTCTTCAACATTGCTCATCGTCACAAAGGCGAACCCACGACTCTGTCCCGTGTCTCTGTTGTAAAGAACCTCAACGAGCTCAGGGTTAGCAAAATCTTGGATGATCTGAGCGAGAGTTGCACTGTCAACATTGTAAGGCAAGTTCCCAAAGTAGAGCTTAGTGTTGATGGTCGCGGGAGGATTGTCATCAGCAGCAGTTGTATCTTCCTGTTTGAGGGCGATGGTCTCTGGGAGGGCTCTGAATCGTCGAGAACTGTTGTCACGTGAGGAGATCAAGAGAGGTTTTGGAGGCGAGAAATGGGATCTAAGGAGTGTTTGGTTAGATGATTTGTTGTAGCCAAGGAGGAGGTTTGGTTGATCATAGAGTTTGAAGCAGGGAAGTGTTAGCATTGAAGCGGCCATTTCTCTGTCTGAACACAGAGACAAAGAGAGATTGGCTTAAGACAGGGATGATTCTACCCACAAAAGAGATTTTGGATAAGGCCAAAATAAGTGATTGGCCTATCATAGCATTTACTGAATCAAATGGTTATCAACTACTTGGTTATTCCGGTTTACTCTGGATTATTCGATTTTACAAGAATTTTCCGGTTAAGATTGAAATCTTACTAGTTTTTTTTATTCTTTTTTTTTTTTGGGTGAAATTTTAGGTTCTGTGTTTCTTTATACTAGATTTCGTTTCGGAAGAAATTTGATTTTCGCCAGCTTTATTTTGAAAAGTATCTCTAGATATTTTCAGCTAAAAAAGCATTAGCTGGAGTTGGGCTGCATACTCCTTTCAGCTTGTCTATTTTAACCAGGTCAAGCTCATTCAATTTATGTATGCTCAAAAAACACTTGCCTCCATATTGTTGTTATATTATTGTAAATCCAAAACTATGACCATGAGTTTATATGTTTTAAACAAAACATACCTTAGTTCTTTTTGATCAAAAAAAAACTTCAGATCCTTCAAATAAATGACCAAAACAATAAAGGATCTTGTGCAAAAGCACTGTCAACATATGCGTAAAGCGGTACTGATTTTAGCGATAAACTAGATTATATATTTCATGTTTATGTACAAATATTTGTTTTATGGGTCAAAATATATATTTTTGATGTTACTCACATATTTAAATGTTGATATAATGATTTGAAATACAATAATTTTATAGTTTTATACTGTAAATTCAAATCATCACATATATATGTTTCTTCTTATTGAATTTGTGTTTGATTATTAAACCAATTTCTTATATATGAAACACCATATTTAAAAAGTATTTGGTTTACAATTTATTTTGATCGTAACCGTAATTCAAAACGCTAGATTAGCATTTTTTTATATTTATTCATTTATATAATAAATTACTGTATATAAAAAGTTTAGATAAATTGAATTTTATACATGAATTATATAGTTTACGAATGTTAGCCCGTAATACGAACATATTATATTTTAGAATAAATATTTTATATCTATTAACATAGATATGTATACTTATCAATTTCAAAAAACTTTAACCTATTTAGTTCAATATAATGGTTTTCTTTTAAAATGATTGATACTATTAGAAATTAAATAAAGCATAATTTTATTCTTTTCATTTTATAAAATATATCTGAATATATATATATATATATATTCATGTATAATAACATTTCCCGACAAATTAAGAAATTAGTGAAATTATATTCAATTTTCGACAATTAAGATCTTGTTATAATCTTTTTCAACAAATTTTCCAGAGTTTATATATATATATATATATATATATATATATTTTTTTTTTAAATTAAAAATATTAAAATATATTATTATTAAAGTAGTTGAAAATATTTTATATTATTAGCATTAAGGATATACATTTAATAAAAATAAATAAATGATCGTCTAAATAAAAATATCACACAAAAAAAGAAATCATGAATTTTATTTTAATAGTGTATATATATATATGATTATTTAAAAATTAAAATAAAATAAATAGTTTTTAAACAAATCTTTTAAAATTATTAGTAGAATGTATTAATTAATCAATTTCTTTGTTTATTATGAGTGAATATGATTAAAAATATCTAATTTTTAATATTCGTCTATAAACCAAAACTAAATTAATTTTTAATTTCTAAGTATATTTTATGATAATTTAAAGTAAAATTAACTAATTTTCAAAATATTTTGTTAGAACATTTTAAATATATTCATTTGTATTTGATATAAAATGACTGGCCTTTAAAAATATAAAGATATTAAAAGATATAGTAATGAACATATGTAAAATTTGATATTTTCTAGGAATAGGTTCAATTTAAAACATCAAATGAAGCGAAATCATGATTTTTATTTTAATATATAAGATGATTTGGTTAATTAGTAGAAGAATGATTCCAATTTGGTCTGGCTTGATTTGGGTTTGATGCATTCTTTTTTTCTTGCTCAAAAGGAAATAAAAATATAGATAAATTTAATTCAGTTTGATTTAGACCCAAAAGAAATATTTACAGGTTATTAAGAAAATAACACAATAGTTTATATATATATATATATAATAGCACAATAATCCAAAAATAATTTTGGTTATTTATATTTAAATGGGTTTCCCATAAATGCTTGAAAGGATGTGTTACATACCAATGATCATTCCAACTCACTGCATGTCTTACAACCATTTATACCTTAGAGACATCCAAATCAAATGTTCTTGGATTCATTTAACGTATTTCTTTGAAGTTTGTCCTATTGCTACAGTTTTATTACAAGAACTTGTGTAAACATTATTGCAAAAAAACATACAACAAAAACATATGTTTTACACTTATTCTTTAGATTTCTTCATCTGAAGAATTTATATACATTGACGAGATAAAAAGGGACTCACTTCATAATAGGTGCAGAGTTTTTTCATCTTAATCTTTGTAATAACCGAAGGAACATAAAAGACAAGAAATTTTTCAGTATAGAGTTTATATCTCTTTCTTTTTAGATTCCAATCTTCTGATGGTCTCACACAAAGACTCTGTTTCTTGTCCCTCAAGCAAAAACTAAAATAAACATCAACTTGTAGTCTCAGAGATGCTCTGCAATGATGGTCTCCATGTTTTCGATTTCGACGAACCTGAGCTTGTTAACACTGCACGTTGCTTCTCATCATTCGTTTCCTATAATAAAAAAAAAAAAAAGAAGAAGAAAACACTCTTTAATTGATTGCTAAAAAACACTCATTAGTTGATATCTAATTACTTTCGAATAAAAGCTTAACCCATTTACTACACTCGAGTAAAGATTTCATACCAGTTTCTGATTCTTGTCGGATTCTTCAGCAACCTTCTTCTCCAGAGATGTATTCTTCTTCTCTTCGGTCGTTTCACTCTGATGCTTCTTTGTCTTCGCGTGCTTCTTTTCTCTTATAACTTTCATAACCTCTAATATATAATAATAAAAAAAAACATTAGAAAGCATAGAAAAACTAAAAACAGATTTAAAACAAAAGTCCAAAGCAGTTAAAACCTCGTGAAGTGATGAGACGGTAAGCATGACCAAGTACAAGATTCTCCGTTGGTCGGAGAAGTTTCACACGCGTGAACCTCACGACCCTTCTCTGACTCTTATCATCTTCTACTGTCGTCGTCCTAGTCGCCGAAACATTTGTCTCCGGCAAAGGAATAATAAGAGAAACATAGTGACCCGGATAAGTACGCATGATGTCCGCGACAGGTACAGAACAGTAATATCTATCGATTTTGCCGTCGGGATGCTGTACAACCAGTGCCGCAGCATCAACCGCCTGACAATTTCCCATATTACTCAGTAAAGTCTCTGTTCTTCCCAAAAATATTGGTTATAATTGAGAGAGAACAAAAGAAAACAGAGTAGAGAATGAGAGAGAGAGAGAGAGTATGTGAAGAAAAGTAGTCTTTCCGGGACAGCGTGAAGGGTTAGGTCCACACATACAGTTCAACTTTGCTTATAAGACATGTGAAACCCAAAAACAATATCATTAAAATCATCACTATTATTATTTATCAATTTTGTTTTAATTTTATGATGATGTGGCTATCCTATTGGACAGTCATTAAGTCATTAATAAAGAATAATAATATTAATAAAGATTTGTAATAACAACATTTTGTGCAGATTTGACTGTTGTTGCCGGGGCCATCTCTGACGTTAGTTTTGTAGTTTAAAATTTAATGAAATAGAGTAATGTATAGGATGGTCGGAAATTAAATAGTTGACTACAACGGTTGGGTGCCGGCACCGGAGATCAGGGACCGATGATTTTGACATTTTTGTTTGTGTTCCTGCAGTTTTAGAATAATTTTATTTTTATTAGTTAGTTGCATTTTTTTTGTTAATTTTCTTACTATTCTCTAAATCTCCTATATCTCTATAATATTATTTGAGAAGTCACTTGCCTACGTGTCACGTTCACGTTAACTCTCGCGATGGTTGATTACATAGATACCCTTAATGAATTATTATATTTTAAGTTTATTATTATTATTTTATTTAATTTCTTTTTTACTTTTCTCAAATAACATATATAATAAAAAGGAAATATTTCTAAAAATTTTACAACAAATTAAAAACGAAAATATATATACATAATATGACTTTTTAAAAAAGGAAAGTTCACAAAATAGTAATGCCCCATTAATATATATTTTAAAATAACATAAAATATATATTCAAAATAATAAAAATATATATGTTCATGAACATTCAAAAATTTATCAGTTACACTTTATTTTCTAATATTCTTTAGAAACCAAAATATAATTGGATAAATATTATGAAAATACATGTATATTTAAGCGATAAATAAACTAATTTGATTTGACTGAACTAAAATAAAGAGTAAATAAATATTATGAAAATACATGTATATTTAAGCGATAAATAAAATTAATTTAATTTGACTTAACTAAAAATAGTAATTATACTTAAATTTTAAATTAAAAATATATTTAATTCAATATACTCACAAAATTAATGACTTGACTAATCTAATTTATTTGTTTTTTTTTTGACTAATCTAATTTATATTCAAAATTAAACATCTAACTACAATAAGAACATATAATAATAATAATAATAATAATAATAATAATAATAATAATAATAATAATAATAATAATAATAATAATAATCTATTTAATTTTATACATATAAATAGAGGTTGACTCAAAGCATATTAAAAAGAAAAAGAAAATATTAACCAATTACAATTTAATTCTTTTCTAGAATTTATATATATACATGAGACTTCAAAATATTATCGTTATATTCATTATGTAATTTTGAATCAAACACTTCAGCTTATTATTTATTTTATTTTAAGCACAATATATATTAAATTATACATAATTTAACTATAATATATTTACATATCTAAGACAATAACCAACCAAAATTAAAATAAGAAAATTAATCAAAGTTTTATTATATTTAGAATAAAAAATATTATAGCTTAATTCAAAAAATAGATATTATCCAATATACCAAATTGACAACTAAACCGACTATTATCCAAAAAATAATTAAACCGACAATAATATATCCAAAGTCATATGTATAATTAGAATAATATAATATTTATTAATATAAATTATACATATAAATTTATTCAAAACTAAAATTAAATATCAATCAATTATTATTAAATTTTATTTTTATGAATATTCATACCCGTGCATGAGCACGGGAAAATCACCTAGTATTATTTAAAGAGAGAAATCATAATAATGCATCCATACTATATTTTTTGAATATTATATGTGTCATCTTCACAATCGTTTAATAATTAGTGTGTTTATACCCTAATTTTTTTAACTACATTATAGATAATTTAATATGTTCGCATTCTATTTTTTTCAATCAGCTCATTTTTTGTTCATGCATTTTAACTTTGTAATAGTGAATGGAAATTAGTTAAAACTTTCTTTGTACAACTACTGAATAATATCATTTTAAAAGAAATTAAAAAAAATCATTAAGATTTACATCAACTAAATGTTGGAATGAGAATATTTTTAGAAAATGAAAATTTAATATTTTGCCGAACTTGGTTATTGTTGGGGTTTATGCTCATGAAAGCAACAAATAATTGTGGTTATGAATTAAGAAAATTGAAATAAAATACACTACAAACGAAGTTGGATCTTTAGTTTAGCCAAGTATTAATTTTCCTTATGAAGTTTTCATATCATACCAAAAATTAGAAACATAATCAAATTACTAAAAAAAATCAAAAAAGTTTTAAAAGGAAATAAATCCGTGATATCGACTGAAAACATAATTTAGGTGCCGAGTGAAGATATCAAATTATTTAACACGCAACTCTAGCCCCTTTCGCTCAATTGTATAGCGTTTTTATTATAGTTTTCAATTTTTATAAGAAAATGCATGTTATTGGTTATAGCCTAGGTCAATTTTGCAACATGTCCAACAACATTGACGACGTTTAATCATTTTTATTATTCTTAAAATATAGTTTAATAATTATGAATGCTAATAAAGCAAAATATTTGTTTTATATTTATTTGTCTTTATATTAGTAAAAGAAAGTAAGTATGGGTAACTATATGGATCCGATTAACCGAACCGAACTAGATTTAAAAGTAATATTAAACACAAACTAAAACTAATTAAGTAATCAGATGGATATAAAATTTTAATATCCTGATAATCAGACTCGAATCTAATACAAAATAAACTATTTTGGATATCAAAATATCCAATTCATAATTATATATTTAACTATATTAATTATTTTAAATTTTATATCTATTAGGTATTCAGAAAATATGAAAATATCTAAAAATTATCAACATATTCACAAGTAAATATCTAAAAATAACATTAAATGTTCAAAATACTGATAATATTTATTTGTTCTTATCCAAATATTTAAATTGAACTAAATTTCATGCAAATTTTAATATTTAGTCCTATATTCAAATTTTATGTATTATATTGTTTTATTTTTTTGGATTTTCAGGACTTAAATATATTTGGATTTTTGTTGAAAATATATAACCAAAATGGACATCCGGGCTCAAATCTAAATTGAGTCCGAAATGATTCTAATCAAATGAAAACTATAATTTATAAATATTCGAATAAGATTTAAATTTCTAATTCTAAAAATCTGAATAAAATAATTGAATTCAAATAGATATATGCATCTTCATACTTTAAACATTATAAAATAAATCTATAAATACAATGTACAATATATAAGCTATAAACCATTTTATCTCGCGCACAATACAGATTTATTGGACGACAATAAAATGTGCGATCTATTTGAGAGTTCTGCAATAAGCATTGTGCATTTAGTTAGAAAAGTTTTTACTGTTTGACATTTTTAGGGCTTGAATTTTTCTACTATACAAATAATATAACATTTCCAAAGTTAATTTCTAAAACATTTACTCGCTTGAATAGATCATCTGAACCTAGTATAATTTCAAAATCTAGCACACTTGGCAGTGAAGTTATAAGTTTATAACAGTGCATACGAGTATGAATAGGCAAAAACTAAAAAACTAGTTCTTCTTCAAGCCACCGAAGCTTAAATTTATTCTACGCATTTTCAAAATCGGCCGAATATCATTCAATGCACTTTGAACTTGGACCATGGACAAAAAGGTATGGTATATAGATTTAGACCAAAACAAGAAAATCATATATAGCTGAAGTCTGAAGATAACCCTAACTAATAGATCCAAAGAATCAATTTTGGTACCACTCATGACGAGTAAAAAAACAAAATTATTAATATTCTTTATAACATGGCGACATGATACCGATTTATTTGAAAAGATTTATTTGTCAACATATTTTTAAAAGAAATTAAATTAACAAAATAAAAATATGGAGAGTGGGTGGACAAGGGACAGTACTGCAACTTCTTATCTCCTTTCCTCACTTCTACAGTATTAATTCTTTTGCTTAACATTTTATTTTGGCATTTATTTTCTTATGATTCATTCGGTTAGAACCGATTTTTTTTTTATTTGCAGGAAGGTCTCTGTGCATGTAGGGGAGGTGATTATGCACAAGCGGGACCGGCCCTGTGCACATGGTTCAGCTCCGTTTTGGTTTGTTTTAGTAAGTAAAAAGGGCTCAAACGTATTTTTTTTTTTTTTTGTAACTTAACTCAAACGTATTTTCTTTTCTTACTTAAAGGAGTTTATATAATCTAAATTTTGATTGACATACTATATAATAATATAAATTTTGTTTATAAACCCATAATCCATTTATTACAATATAAATTTTCTAGTTAAGGGTCTTGATTACTACCAAACCGGACCTCTTCTTTTGAATGATAAAGTTCTACTGAGTACAATCTTCCGATTATTGCGTGTTCCTGACTAATGTTCCTCATTCGATAATCATATATAGTAGACCTGAGAATTCGACTCCCTTGTCTGGAGCATTGGTTCCGTTAGAATTCCACAAAGCAGATACATATCAACTTACTTAAAATATAGGTGGATACATATCAACATATTTAAGATACATCGTAAGTATTATTGATATGTTTTATATTAGAGATTTGTGAATATCCAAATTTTTAGAAAAATAATAATAATTATATATAAAATGATCTAATTTTAGTATTAAAAGTTTGAAATATTATATAATATATATTAATTAATACATATTTATAAAGATGTACACATTTTAATATTTAATTTATAAACTACTTGTAATTACACTCCACCTAGAAATGAAAGCAATTATTGAGTTTTTGGAAGGCAGAATGTTTCCACTAACCATCACTTTTTAATTAATGTATAGTCATTATAGTTAATTTTGTATTATCAATACCATTAAAACAAAAACATTCTGTATAGTGAATTTTTTTATGTTTTCCAATTATACATTTATTTTTATGAACATGATTAAT